ACTAAACTTATATGGGCATTTTAAGATTTGACAAGGGTGAGATTGGATTAAATTCTTATAATCAAAACTCAATTGAGGAATTAATTGAATAAATCAAAAGATTGAGGGTTGAAATTGAAATAAGAGATTTTTAAACCTAAATAAAACCTAAACAAACCCCAAATACTAAAACTATGCACTTTTATTTAAATGAAACAGTGTATGGTGTTGTTTTGATTAAAACTATGTCGTTTTGGTAATAAAGGTAAACAAAATAATATCAGACGACGCGTCATCTAACATTGTTCATCACTTTTAACCTCTGTACTTGAAAAGCTGTTTGAGTGGTTACTTTTCAAAAGTATTTAATGCTTCATCTCTTTTAAATATTTTGCCTTAATAAGCTTGCAAAACATGAAATAATTCATGTTATGAAAAAAGCCAATAACTTGGTCACTAGGCTGGACTCGTGAACAAGTTGTGTGAGCTGGACCTAAGCCTAGCTCGTATGGATGGGTAGGGTCCAGCTCATTTCACAAAAAAGGTTTGTTATATTATTTGTTAGCTTAACAAATCATGTCGGGCTGGACCACCTTGTTTTTTCTTAAGAAATAAGCTCTCTTTGTTTTTGGCTTATATCGACATGTTTTTCAAATATATATTTAAAAACATTTTGATGCCTCTAATTTTAGACTAAGTGTATATTTGACAAACATGTTCTAAGTTTTTTCATTTAGATTTAATTTGGTTATATTTGTGTATCTAACCAAATATACCCTTAAAAAATTGAAAAAGAAAATTGAAAAAAATAATCCATAGGCCATTTAAAAAATACTTATGGGTCCTTTACATGATTTCCCAATATTTTTGTCTAATAGAGGGTTGTGGACTTACACTATAAGATACGTACCTAGTATTAAATATATCTGATTTTTTCTCTAAAAATTTCAAAAAAAAATAAAAATTTCAAAACAAAATTCCTTTGTTTTATAAAACATAAAAAAGTTTTTTTATTCAAGAATTTCATTTAACATTGGGTTATAGAGTTATACTGTAACATGCAGATTTGATATTAAATATACCTGATATTTTCTCCAAAAAATTCAAAAGAATTCAAAAATTCAAAAAACAATTTCTCTCCAAAAAATTCAAAAGAATTCAAAAAACAATTCCTATTTTAGAAACATTAAAAAAGCATTTTTCTTCAAGGATTTCATTTTATATTAGGATAAAAACTTATACTGTAAGATATGGACTCATTATTAAAAATACTTAATTCTCTCTAAAATTTAAAAAAAATCTAAAAAAAATTCAAAAATATTCCTCATTTTAAAAATACAAAATATATTTTTTTTCCATGTGTATGGTCAAATCTTAAAGGTGTTTCATGCATATTTTCTAAAAAGAATAAAATCATATTTTTATCATGTTTTAAAAAATACAAAATGGATATCTTAGCCAGTTTATGATTATTCATTAAAGTTGGATCAAAATACCAAAAATTCCACAACAATTAATTTATTTAGTTAATATTCAAAATATTAGGATTTGGTTATAAACTTTAATATTTGGGGGTTATAAAATTACACTATAAAGTATATACCTGGGTTTTAAAGATATAAAAATACAAAGTAAATACAACGTTAAAATTTAGTTTTTAGAATAGTTAGAATATAACCTAATAAGATAGAATTTTTCTCACGAAGAGTGATCTGTCTTGAATCTTAGATGAGATCAACAAATAGAAACATGCCTTAAATTAACAATTAATCAATAATGCAATTTACTATAGGTAAGGTGCATTAGAGGTGATATATCTTTTTTCTTGTACAACTAATCCTTTTACCTAGACTCTCGTACACCATTAAGTTTTTGTAGTTATCATAATATTAGGTGGCGACTTATGAACCTTACAATCATAATTTTATAATTAAACCCAAAACCCTTTTAATTCTAGAAGGCAGCTCTATCATTCGATATTATGCACTTCTTATATAACACATACTCATACAAACTCAAATTTAAAAATTACAAAGTTGGGAGATCAATGATGCTGGGTGTCTTTATTTTAACAAAAGAAAGAAAAAAAAATCATGGCATAGAAGCTGGATGAAAAATAGAAGGTTAGTGTACATTAATAAGAACTGAAAGCATCTTACATTAATAAAATATTTTCAACAACTTTGGATTTGGCATGTTATGTCACCTGATTGTCTAAGAACATAATATAAAAATGACACAAATCCTTCTCTTTGCAAAATAAAATAAAATAGAGATTATGGGTTTTATAACTCATGATCTAAGCATTTCATCATCTATAAAAGTAGTACACATGTCTTTGAAAAATGCTTTATAAACGTCACAATAAAGCCTATTTAGCAATTACTTCATTACAACTATATATACAATAACAACAACAATAAATATAATAACTAAAGTAATCAAGAAAGTTAGTGGGTTTTTAAGTCCCTAGCCTAGTTAGTAGCTAGTACCTTTAGCCTTCAGGAGCTGGGTTGGAACTTGGAAAGGTTAATGGCCCAATTCCTTCCTCTAACATGGCACATGGAACTTGGAATTGTTGATGCACTGCTTAAGGAAGAGATAAATGGTACAAGATCAAAGAGATGGAATGGAAAAAACAAAAAGAGAAAGAGAAAACAAAATTTTCAATTTAAACAAAAATCTAATAGGCATAAATGATACAACAACATGTTACCTTAATTTCCATTAACAAAATTATTATGAAATAATCAATTACAAGCCACAATCAAGAATAAAAGAGTATAAGATCCAACAATAACCATTGGCTGTGGGAATTTGAATACTACTCATCTTAGTTAGCTAAAAATCAAAATCCTTGTTGTAAAATAAGAAAATCTAACACCTTAAACTCAAACCTTAAATGCATTCCCATAAAATAAGTATTGTTTTTCCTTTTCAAATATCTATATTTTTTAACCAAAAACCAAAATTCCTTTTATAAAAAGGAAATTCAGAAGCTAAAAACCTAACCCAAATCTAAAAACCACAAAAAATGAAAACAAATCAACAAACCTAAATAAAAAAAACTTCAAAAATATTTCAAAACTCATAAAAGAATTAACCAAAATAGAATCTCAGAAGAAGATACACACACTTGTACCACCATCACAAGCTTAAAGTTTAAAAAATCAACAACTTGCTAATTTAGGGAAACATACACAAATTATAAAAAAATTTGTCTAAAAGAAAGTAAAAATAAAATCTTAAAGATTATTGCAATATAGAAAATGAAAATGAAATCTTAAGATTATTGCAATATATATAAAAAATGAAAATGAACCAAGGGATGGAAGTTGCAATGGGTTGAGAGGCTGGATTTTTTTTAGGTGGCTGTTAAAGATTTGAAGTGGACAGGAGAGATATCAAGTTTAGGGTTTGAATTGAAATCAAATAAGAAGAAGAAATGGAGAAGAAGAGAAGATTGTCGTGTTTTAATTCACTTTAAAATCACCAATTAAATTACCAATGAAATTTTTTTAATTCCATCATTATTTTTTTTGGAAATTACTGATGAAATATATTCATCACATTTTATATTAGTAAAACTGTGATGAATTATTTTTTAGTTGGTTTTTCTATTATTTTTTTGCAATAATCTAGTAGTGTCTTTACTACGAGATAAATCTTATTTTGAGCCTACTCTTGCAATTCATTTCACAACTAAATGAGGGATCTCTTTTACTCCTTTTGCAATTCATTGGTTATCATTTTGTCTTATCATTTTCTTCATAGGAATCTATGGTTAATTCGGTTTGCAATCTTATATGATTTATAAGTAACATTACAAATCAGTGAAAGGATCAGAAGTCTATCATTTTTCATAAGTTTTTGTATTTTTTTTCATTTAACACATACCACGAGTTAATGATTATGAATTTTTATATATTTATGATTAATTAAGATTGAAACTTAAGTGTTTTCTTTCAATATTCTTCCAACCCTCTTCCACTGGTTTTCTACCTATATCTTGTCCTTTTTAACTCTCCTCTGTATGGTTTCTCCCCTCCTAATCAATTTATCCCTCTCAAATGGGATATTTACAACCCTTTAAGTTTTATACTTTTGTTATACATCAACCTTCTAAGTAAAAAAACTATTAATATAATAAAATTCTTATAATATACTCCAATATTAATTCCTAAAAAACAAACTAATCCCTTTTTTTTTTAATTATATGTCTATTTAAATACTTTGTTAAACCCTCCATAACACATAATAAACTTCCTAAATGATTCTAAACTAATGTTACTCGATTTGGTAAGCTCTTCTAACATAAAAAAAATTCTTTAACAATAACAATAACAATTTATAAGATTTTTATCCATTCACATAAATTGATTCTAATTCATATAATAAAAATAAAATATTTTAAAAAAATATTCACAAATAATATTATGCTAATACTCATTATAATTAACATAAGTATAAAACACGAAAAGGTGTGGAGCCATTGGGTTTAAAACTTTATTTTTTTTAAAAAAAATTTTAATAACAAAAATAGATATTTATAAAATTAAACATAAATAAAATATCACGATATTTATTTGAGATTGTGATAACTTTACATAAAAATACCAAATTTTTTAACAATGATTTAGGTTATTTTTAAACCAACTAAGTCAACTAAATCATAAATACCTCTTACATAATTTAATTTTAATCTTAAACTAAGTAAGAAGTCAAGTAACCAACTAAGTCAACTAAATCATAAATAACTCTTACATCAATATGTATTTTTCTTTTGTTAGTTGTATCCTTTTATTTTTCAGTTTTATCCTCATATCCTTTTTACTGATCAATTAAATTATCTTTTAATTAACTAAATCAATTAGGCCATGTCAATATAATTCTAACAAAATTTCATTTAGGGTTAACAAAAATTTAAGTTGAAAGGTTTACGCACTTTGTTTCCATAGAGCTCTTTGCCCCAGTTAGGTCCCCTAAGTAAATAGTTTAACAGAAGAACCGCTTCCCCTGTATTCTTCCAGGTAATGCTTCTCATCATCCATCCTTGCTCTTAACTTCTGATTCATATTTTACATTGCAAGACAGAACCAGCCCCATGACAATAAAATGCAATAATAATGTGTCAAACATTGATCAGAGGTTGAATAACATTTTCAACTCTAAATTCTAATTCTAAAGTATAAAAGGTATAGCCTATGGTTGCCCACTTCCCGCCGAGCTTCTTTCAAGCTATATCCCAAATCTTTCTAGTTCTTCTGGCATAGTTTTCTTCTCGTCAGTGCTTGTTTAAAGCATGAAACAAATAGGCATCTTACAGTGCTGCAAGGTACCGCTCTTCTCCTGTTTCTCCTCTCCATCTGGCCGTCCTAAACCTGAAACCATAACTTCAAAAGGTTCCGTGGCTCTTTGTGCATGCATATAATGATGAAACAAGTCACTATTCTTCCTTGCCTGCATTTTAATAAAAGAATGAGGTTTAGTGACTGTCAACTTGGGTTCATTTAAACTTCCAAAAATAATGACACCTGACAGTTAAGATGAACACTCACCATCATCGTGGTATAGTGTTGTGTTCTCTTGTGCCTTCTTAGCTGTCCCTTTAACCGATTCAGCTGTAATCATCAATTAATGGTTAATAAGAGAGGAAAGAGGGAACATGCAGGCAAAAACTAGATGAGACAGAGAATAATGAGAATTGAGCAGCTTTCTTCTGGATGCTTTAAACTACTAATTGATCTTCTTTTCATGGTGTTATAAGCCGAAAGAAGCAATCAACTAGATATGCAAGGCCTTTGAGAGAATACTAAACTTTCTTATCAAATCTCACCCTTAATTTTTCTTTTCTTGTTAGCCCTCCTCCTCTTCCTCTCAGCCTGCGTAAGTTCTGCTTCTTCCTTAATATCACCTTTGCCTGAAAAAACCTCCTCTGGAGCCAGCATAGCTGCATCTGAAACTGCCATGGGTGCAATCTATACATGGAAGACTGTGTATTAGCAAGTCAGAAACAAACTTCAGACCGAAGAGGATAGGGAGATACCTTTTACCTCCTCCATAGCAAGAGCAGGGACATTTGCTTGGATAGACATGTCTTCTATGACCTAAATTTGCTTGGATAGACATGTCTTCTATGAATTGAGAAGAGCCCGTCAAAGTCACACAAAAGGGATCAATTTTTTTTTTTTTTTAAAAAGGGTGGATAAAAGCCCGTCATTTTATGGATTGAGAAGCATACAGGTTTGGGAGCAGAGTGGAAGTGAGAAAGTGCATCCAACTTCAAGCACAGTTTTTTGAACAGGACACTTGCCTAAGTAAAAAAATGATAACAAGATTACACAAACCAAAGATGTCAGTGTAATAAAATCAGATGGCCACAGTAATACTAAAATGCAATGTGCTGGAGTCATTGAAGATATGAAAATTTGCAATGAAGAAACAACTAAGGAGAAATAAAAATAGTACCAACAACAACAAATACAACATCATGAAAATCTACCTCCTCCTTCTGTTCATCTGAGAAAGATAACGGTGCAACAGCTGGATTTGTCTTTTGAACATATTCTTCCTGTAAATAATTAGAGAGAAATTTGGATTCAATACACGAGCTCAACAACAGAAGTAAACAATCAAGCTCAGAAACTATTAAGAACATTAGGGGATCCAGTATCCAGAATTGGAAACCCGACAAAGCATGCTGGTTAGGATAGACAAACCTCATAAACATCGGCAAGACCCTTCTTGCTCTTATTATCATGCTGCACATTTTATGAAAAATACAGCGAGCAGAATTAATATTATATCACAACAGGGAACAATGGAAAATAAACTGTTACCAGTAATATTGTTTACCAACTCTTTCAGTTCTCTTGGTGCTTTAGAGGGTAAACCAGGAGCCTTCTGAATGCCATTAAACTGTCCCTAAGATCATCATGGCAGGACTGTTTCTGGTTAAAAAGTCAGCATGTGCATGCATGCACACAGACAACAATGTCTAACATAGCAAAGTATCAAAGCAGTGTCCAATTCAAAATGAGAAGCAGCAAGATCTGAACAAAGGAACCAGTTATATAGATTCAAAAACAAGAAAGATCAAGATAACATATACCCAAAATTTTTCCCATAACAAAAGCTACTCATATTGTCAGGTACAGTGGTAGAAAATTTCTTTCTGAAAGCTTGACCTAGGATTTAGGAATTTTTTCTGTGTATAGAAATTTGGAAAAGCCAAAATCATAGGAGGAAGTTGCTCTGCCATTAATATCACCCATTCATCTGCCAACTTTAAGAACATGAGTATTTGGACAAATGTTCACTGTTTATCTAAAAACCAGAAAATTCTGGACAGACATTGTTCAAATTATCTGAAGAACTTTGCCATGGCTTTGAATAAATAATCATGCATATGTCCAGTAACAATTGCAATATTTATTCACCAACTTCTCATAACAAAAACAGCCAAATATAAAACCAGTGTCCTCATATTAAAAGAAGACTTGTGTATGAATCTCAACAAAGAAAACTCTGTTGCCATTGCAACATAACGTTGGGATAGTGTACATATGCATGTGAGCAAATATGTGCACATCTGAGGTACATCATCTCATCACATGGCCATCACATAGATATAGTTGCAGTTTACCTTGAAGCAACTGCGAAAAATTCTCCTTGGTTTCTAAGTGCAAAATAAAAGAAAAATTGCATGACATAGAAATCATATATCATAATCAATTTGTTACAAGCAACCAACACATAGCAAGAAAATTTGGATTAAACATTTGAAATAAAGTCAAACAGTGATGTCTTAACAAGGCAGCTAGATATGTAAGAAAATTCATTAAAATTTGAAGTTTACCTCAATGATCCTATTCTTAATCATATCTTCCAGTGTTGCAGTAACCTCCTCAGTGATTACAGAGGCAGGCCTCATATTGTGTTCAAAGTCTACATCAACTTCTAGTGCACTATTCTTGGGTCTGCTTGCAGCAGTTACCTGTTGCCAAGTCCATTGTATGTGACATCAAAACCAAAACCTAACATTGATTGGATTGGATAGGATTATATCCAAAAACGAATAAAAATAATAAAGCACAAAGCATAAAAGCAATTTTCTTAATTAGACATTAAAGGACGGCCAGAGTTACCTCTCCTTGCATGGTCCAAGTTTTGGGCTCCAAATTTGATTTCTCCATCTGTTCTATCTCAGATTGAAGCTTCTGAAGTTGTTTTTCATGGGTTGAAAGTCTACCTTTTCTCTGCACAAAGGAAATAACAACACCATTACATTTACACATCCATTCACTTCTTAAAATTTAAATTATAACACTGCAGGAAAGACAGCAGAAACTTTGTTGAATGCATGCAGACATAAAAACACATCATAATACCTCATCAACTGCTTCATCATCAAGTTCATCGTCTGAGCTTGAGTCTTCTTTTGACTTCCTTTTAAAGATTTTTCTCCTTTTACTGCCAAATAAGTCTTCATATCTGAATCTCAGTGATGCACAAGAAAAACCAAGAATCAGTAATTCAAGTTAAAAAAAAAAAAAACACTTTTAAGGTAGTAAGGTCTGGTGCTGGTGGCACCATTAGAAGCAGTATGAACATGAAGAATTAGCGATAGAGGTGAACTAAGAAGAGAAAAAGAAAATGAAATACAAATCAGTATGACCATTGAAGCAACAGTTTCATAAGAAGTGCTGCCAGCAACAGGGCAAATGGAGGCCTTGCTAGGTTTCCGTGAGATTTCTCTGGAACAAATAAAAAAATGAAAGAAGTGCTTTAACTATCACCATGTAACTTCAGTTATGACTATAACCAATAACTCATCCCAGATAAAAAAAAAGCCCCAAAAAATAAATACAACAAAATTAGGACCTTGCATGCTTGCTTGCATCTTCATCTTCCTCATCACCATCGCCAAAAACCCCAAGCTGAATGATTAGATGTCCAGTGAGTATAAAAGCATGAACCATAAAAAAAGGGAAAGATTTGAAAATGTATAACGGAAAAATCTATGCTAATCCAATTAAGTAACACATCTACAATATGCATAATCCCAGTTTGATCTTCAATATAGACTAATTAAAAGCTATATTTGATTATGACTTTGCCAACACTACCTCCACTACTGCAAACTGAATAACCAACAATAATCCGCGCTATCCTAGATCAAAATCATATCTAAGAATTCCCAAACCAAACAAATTATTATAATCACATAAAAAATGTTCATGCATACACATATCTAATTTAATTAACTATATAAGTGTGCATCACCTCATCATCTTCGTCATCCTCTCCTCCCTCACCTTCATTATCATCCTCGTCTTCGTCATCCTCCTCAATTAAATTGTCTTTCTTGTCATTCTTCTTTGAATCTAATCCATATTCCTTGGCATCCTCGTCCTCCAAAAAATCCTCCAAATCCTTTATCTTCAAAAACTTATCCTCTACCACTCCCTTTTCTCCCTCCTCTTCTCCACTCTCTTCCTCTTCACTTACCTCCTCTTCACCACCACCCTCCTCCTCCTCCTCTTCATCATCAATTTCATACATATCCATGTCGTCGTCGTCACCATTACCGACCCGGTCAATTTTTTTCACCTCCTCTTCTACACCGTTGTTTTTCTTGGAAAACCTTGTCACCAGTTACTCCAATTTTCCCTGGATTCTTCTCAAAGTGCAAAACTTGACGGCGTAAAGTGGACAGCAACGGCCGTGGTTGTAAGTCAATTTGCTGCCAAATCTGCTCAACATCAAACCCGTCAATTAGAAGTTGATCAAAGAGCGATTTAGGGACATGGGGATTTATTGAAGAGAAGATATGTTTACAGGCCGTGCGTGCTTTTTGAGACAGAGAAGGCGATGGTGCTACCCATAGTGGTGGGTTAGTCGATTTAAGGCGATTTAAGTCTTCTAAGGCTGCTGCTGCTTCGCTAGGTATTGCCATGGCCGGCAGAATGTGAACGGTTCCTGTGCCTCTGGGCTCTGGGAGTGTTCTGTTGAAGTTAGTCAGGGTTTTGGGGTTTTGGAGGTAGGGCTGTGAGCGCCAATAAGGGGAAATTAGGGGTTATGCTTTCTATTTGCTTAAAGAAAATAAAATGGGTTATGCTTTCTATTTGCTTAAAGAAAAAAAAAAAAAATTAGGGATGGGAATTTCAACTGAACCGATGGATAATGATCGGAACCGATTCGAATGGTTTAGACCTGAATCAATAAGAAATTTTTAGAGTCAGGGGTTTAAATTCGGGTTTTAAATTGAGTATAAATACTAGAATGTTCATCTTGAAAACTGACCCCAACCTAACCGAGATCTTCAAGTTTACTGGCTAGATTTGACAGCTGGACAAAGGAACACCACTAGTATATTGGCATCAAACTGAAAATAGATACAAATAAATAAATAAAATAAAATAAATGTGAAATTCCCTATAATTGTTTTTCATCATAAAATGTTTATATATATATATATAGGTTTTGTTTTAATATATTTGAAAATAAATATAGAAGCTATTTGTTTCCACTAGATATTTTTATAAATTTTTAATATTTTTGAATTATTTTGATATAATATTAAAAAATAGAATTTTTAAAATAAATATTTTAATATATTTTTAAATAAAAAATATTTTAAAAAATAACTATTAACGGTAAAAAAATATTTTTTTTTATTTTGAAGTGCCTCTTACAATTATTTGCTAGGATAATTGCATTATTAATATATTATTTTTATATATTTTCTGAATTTTATTTTTTAATTAAATAGATTTAAAAAAATCATTAAGTAAATAAACTTTACTATATATTTTTTTTCATTTTAATATATTTGTATTTTTTACTGTTCCATTGAAGCAGCAAATGAACAGTGTAAAAAAAAAGAAGAAGATTAAATGACAAATCATGAAAAAATATAGTAGTAATCAACAGTTGCTGAATTTAATTTGTCTGACTCAAAATAAAAAGAGGCTAAAAATTGAATCGTTCACGCTAAACAGTTTGGAAAAATCATCTTCTCCGGTCTTTCTGTCAAAACTCCAAATTCGCTCTCCTCTCTCATCTTCCTTCCATTTCCTTTCATCAAGTTTTCAACATCAATCAATCCACCACAACGGTAACAATCAGTTTTATTTATTTATTTATTATGGATGGAGAGGGGACCCACGACACCATCTCCAGGGGGCCTGATCCGTTCCGCTCTATCAATTCGGACTGTGGTGACGCCTCTCCGTCACAGTATTCCTCATGCGGAGAATCGGAGTTCGAGCGATACTGCAGCGCCAATTCAGTTATGGGCACACCTAGCTTCTGTAGTAGCTCATTTGGAGCCTCTTTTAATGATTGTATAGAGTCTGATCTTGGGTCTTTGAAAAGTTTGGATGATTTTGGGTTTGATGGTAATAGGGACTTGGAGGATAGAAAGCTTTTGAATTCGGTTATTGATCGTTTAGATGGCAGTTTTGAAGAGAATGAGACTGGTAGGTTGGAAATTTGTGGAGCAAGTAGTAATGAATTGGACAGTAGGATTTGGGAGATTGAGAAAGGGGATTTGGGTCGAGTTGGTTGTGGAGAGAATGAAGATTGTCAAAGTGGGTTGGATGTAGAGGTAGATTTGGGATTTGATGGAGGGGAAGATGGGGGTTCGTCTAGATATGGATATTCGGAAGATGATGATTCCATTTGTGGGTGTGGTTCGGATGATGAGAAAAGGAAGAATTTGTATTTTAGGAGGAATGTGTTGCTTGGTGAGGAAGGGAAAGTAGGTGGTGAGAACCCGTTGATTATGGGTTCGTCTGTGGCTTTTGGGTCGGAAGATTGGGATGATTTTGAGCTAGAAACTGGGGGAGGCATTGGAGCTTCTTTGACCTTGGATAAATTTCAGCAACAGGAGCAGGGTCTGGCGACTGATGGAAACTTTTTCAGTTCTATTCCTGTGGTTTCAACTGTAGCCCCTGTTATCGGTGAAGCAGAAATAGGGGAAGATGTGACTGAGGAACAGGCTGCCATGGGAGACATTGAAGGTGATGATTTGGGAGAGAAGCTCAATTCCGGTACCGAGGTCCCTTATGGTGTACGGAATTCTATTGTGGATCAAGTGGAAGACATGAGAGACATTTCTGTAGTCAGTTGTCAGGTACAAGGTGCTCATGAATTGGCCAAAGATGATAAAAGTACTTCGATCATGCCATTTGGTTTTCCAGGCTATTGCGAACCACAGCAAGAAGATGCTAGAGACATTTCTTTTAACTGCAATCAAGCCCAAGGTAGTCACGACACAACAGAGCTTTACAAAAGTTGTCCTGTCAGTGACTTCTTTAAGGTGGAACAGGAACCTCTTGTAGAAATAACCCCCGTAGGGTTAGGATTGAATTTTACAGATCCTTACATGGAAGGTCTGAATCCATGTGTGAAATCCGAGGAAGTTGTTTGTACCGATGATAAAAAAGCTTTGGAAAATGAAGAGGCTGGGAATTTTGAAGTAGAGGCAGATCCCCTTTCTGATACAACTAATCAACCTCATTTCTGCGCAGTTAAATATTCAGAAAATGCAAGTGCAGAATCCCTTGTCACCCAAAAATTAAATTCAACTCTGCCAATGCTTGAAAATAACATGAAAAAAACATCAGAAAATGCTCCTGGTTCTGTGATTCTTTATGAAGAACATTCTGCAGTGGTTAAGGTTAGTCTCCATGGTAACTTAATGGTTATTTTCTTCTCCGTAAGCACCGGATTAGTAACATTAAGTCTACAACCCTCCTAAGTTTATAAATTATAGAACCAATTTGTAGATGTCCATTAGATGTCTTGTTACTTTTTATGCTTGGTTATCACGTATAGCACACAGAAAAGAATCTTTCAGGGATGGAAATGGGATTTGACACTTTCACTTGCATTATCTGCGTGGCAATGTCTTAAGGAACATTCGTTACATGTTTGTTCTTGTATAAAAACTCAGTTCTAGAATCTGGCTTGTATGTATTTAGGAGTATGGCTATGTTTTTTAAGCATCTACATGTTTGAAATCTGATACCAGCAAACTTTTTAACCAGATTGCTTGCATGTAAGTATATGTGCTGAGCTCCAATGGAAAAACAACTTACTGCCAAACCTGTGAAGTCTTTTGGATGACCCATATTCTGATAGAGCATCATCTTATGCTTATAATTTGTGTTTCTTTTAAATTTGAAGTAAATTGCTTTGTGTTGGCGATTTGGAATTATTATAGTTTTTGTCATGGTGTAGTTGTTTGGAAGAGTTTGAAGCAATACAGTGACCAGTCTGTTGCGAAAGTGTTTTTTCACAAAGTGTATTTTTCTAGTGGCTAGCTGCCTTTTTATTTGATTGCAGGGAATCTATTTCCAGCGTTGCTCTCAAGTTGCTTTTTAACCTGCGTCTATTCTAATCCGTTTCCTAAATTCTCTTGCCAGGCAGAGAATTTTGAGCTTATTGAATTTTACGATGAGATTGTCAACGAAATGGAAGAAATTTTACTTGACTCTGGTGAGTCTCCAGGGGCTAGATTTCCTCAGGGTAATCATTTGTTTCAGTCACAGCTATTACTGCCGCTAAGAGATGGTGGGTCAACTGCTTCTACTTCTGGTACTAATGAGGCTTACCCGCTAATTACACATCCAAGGAGAATTGATAGGGTTGAAGTGGTAGGAGCAAAGCAGAAGAAAGGAGATGTCTCCCTTAGTGAAAGATTGGTTGGAGTGAAGGAATACACCATGTATATAATAAAGGTATGGAGTGGCAAAGACCAGTGGGAGGTTGAACGTAGGTATCGTGATTTCCATACGCTCTATCGCAGGCTGAAATCATTATTTGCTGACCAAGGCTGGACTCTTCCTTCTCCTTGGTCCTCTGTGGAAAAGGAATCTAGGAAAATATTTGGGAATGCATCTCCAGATGTTGTTTCTGAGAGAAGTGTTCTTATTAAGGAGTGTTTACATTCAACTATCCATTCTGGGTTCTTTTCCAATCCCCCAAGTGCACTGGTTTGGTTCTTGTGTCCTCAAGGTTCATTTCCTAGTTCCCCTGCAGCAAGAATGCCAGTTGCACGGTCTATATTTTCTAACAAAGGGGCAGATGCAGGAAATATTTCCACTTTAGGGAAGACAATATCGCTTATTGTTGAAATCCAGCCACACAAATCTACTAAACAGATGCTAGAAGAGCAACATTATACTTGTGCTGGATGCCACAAGCATTTTGATGATGGTATGACATTAATGCAGGACTTTGTACAGACACTTGGGTGGGGAAAGCCTCGGCTGTGCAAGTATACTGGTCAGTTATTTTGTTCTTCATGCCACACAAACGAGACTGCAGTTTTGCCAGCAAGAGTTCTGCATTATTGGGATTTTAATCAATACCCAGTTTCTCATCTGGCCAAGTCATACTTGGATTCCATCCATGAGCAGGTATTTTGAGAAGTGGTTCTTCTGTAGTCATTTGTAGAATCTCTGCATAATTGGATGCTTCTAGGTTGGATGATATTGTCAAAATCAAGGGATAGATAAATAACGGACACAAAATCATGAAAGGAATAAGTTTGTCAAGCACAATTTTGTGCTTGCTTACATACTATAATGGGCCAAAAGTCGATTTTTAACTCTTGACCCAACTGTCTAGCGTTTCCCTGACTATATTTGGTAAGATTTGACATGCTTGTAAGAATGATGATTGTAGATGCCTACGCCATTCCAGGTTATCTGTCACATGTCTATATGCTTGGACATTTTGATTTAATTATTGGTTTTTGTAGGCTTGGGGTATCAATCTAATTTGTAGTTCCCTAAATTCTTCATTTAGATAGCAACACATGCATGTGTCATTGATGTTTCACCACTTCAAGTATTATAGATCCATATTGAGCTTCCAATTCAATGCACAGAGTTTGTATCTAAGTTTTTGCCAGATACCCCTAATGAATTTTCTTTTGCAGCCCATGCTTTGTGTAAGCGCAGTCAATCCTCTCTTATTCTCTAAGGTCCCAGCCTTGCACCATATTATGGGTGTCAGGAAAAAAATTGGAACTATGCTTCAATATGTTCGATGTCCATTCCGCAGGACCATCAACAAAGTACTCGGTTCTCG